ATGTTTCCTAATTGTTATTTTCTCAACTTTTAAAATGTATTAGTCTTCACACATACACCTTCTATATTTGTAGTAAGTGTTTAGAAATCAATCAGTAGATCAAGCCATTGCAGTTAACGTGAGAAGATAAAATCCATTTCAAACCCTATATGGAAATTTTGTTTGAAGATAAAAGGAAAAGCGTATGGGATGGGAAGGGGGAAGGGACAGTAGGAGACGGAGCCACAACTCTTCTCTAAACGATCTGATGAAGAGCCAGCAGAGATGAACTTGGCCTCTATGTCTCATGACTATAACTAGCTGCACGTCTCCTGTGTGCTCACTAATAGGTATGTCCACTGCACCTCCCGCCCTTTGGCCATTTCCTTACTGTCAGTAGCAGCCATCAGTTTCCTCATGCCTCATACTCTTATTTCCATCAGTCACACACCCCCAAGTAACATCCAATCTAAGTGTTAAAACACCAAACTGCTATGCAAATAAACCTTCCAGCAACTCACTCCAACCTCTCCACCCAACCACATCATGACTCTGCAGCGCCCCCCATAGGAAACCTGGGGGTACTAGGACCCTCACAAACGTTGTATTACCAAAACGCACAACCAATGTTTGAGACGTCAAACTTTTATTCTGACTCATATTGTAATCACTAAATATAACTAAGATATGTAGTCCACAGGTTAAAACTACCTTCTCAGATCTTCAGAGGTCAATACATTTGTCTTGTTGCGGGGAACCCAGACAAAGAGACAGGACACCAAGGCATGGGAAGCAACTTTTACTAATGCCGGCACTGGCTCAGCGGAGTCACAACCAGAGGCTGAGCCCCGACCCGGGCGAGACTCGGGGCTATATACCCTGAGGTTTCCGGGTTAGCAGCTAAGGTTCCTTATTAGGACATGCAGCCTTGTGCCAGTTCCTGACTGGCTCCCAGGTGAGGTAGGAATTCGGAAATGTTAAACGCGGAAGTCTTGCTGACTATATAATCCAGGAATGTCTTTGTCTGATGCCCGCACAAAATCCTTAGTGACCATTGTCTGAGAAAGCCTTTGTCTAGGGCCCATTGCCACAGTCTCACTCAGGGGGGTTAGAGGAGTCAGCACCCCTGGCTCCGTAGCAACGTTTCTAGACCACTATCTACAGCTGTCCCTCAGCGCCGTTCTCTCTTCTTAAAAGCATGACATTAATTTCTACTTCCTATGTGAAGTCCCCCTTAATACCCTCCTCTAGAAAAATGCCTCCTTCTTATATCTCATGCTACTTCATTTTTATAGCCAGGGAACAAATTCCTAAGTGGATAGGATATATTGATACAGCAAACTCCTACAATCTAATCCCCAATTGCCAATAGCTATTCGTGTGGGGGTGAGGGAAGTGGGGGATTAATACCGGTGATAAGGAAGTGAGAAAAAAAAACAACAACTGGAAATATGACCCCAAAACATGACGACACACTAACACCCTTGGAGTAATGGGACTAAACTTTCCCAAGTAAAACCGAGTCTTAAGCTGAAGAAGAATAGTTGGTCCTGAGAACCCAGTCCAACAGGAGATACACACAATTTTTCAATAGAAAATCCCAGAGTGTTCAAAACATAAGCTGCCATTTTTGAGGAACTAACCATGGCCTTCTATTTAAAAAAAGAAGCCATCAGCCCAGAGGGAGTGAAACAAGCTCTCAGGATTAAGAACCTTCTCAAACTCCAATGACCCTTCCCTTTCCAGGCAGATGCAAGTTTGATAAATATACAAATATCCCCAAGTAAGACTTTTGACTCACTGAGGCTTTCTGCCTTGGCAGGTAGTTTGCAAATTTAGAATTAGCCACATATCTCTATAACCCTGTATCACGAGTGCTTTGCACACAGTAAGCCAGGGGGAAAAAAAAAAAAGGTCTGCTTAATTCAGAAAGGGAATTCAGTCACAAACACCTCTCAGATGGCCAAAAGAGAGACTTCATAGCAATAGGCTAATTGTAGGGAATGTTTTGAAAACCAAATAAAGAAAAGAATATCTGTGTGACATCTAAGTATTAAAAATATCAGATATAAAACAAGTTTGAAAATCATTGAAACCAGGCGATTGTGACATGAGGTTTCATGACACTAGTCTCTCTACTTTTGTGTCTGTTTGAAAAGTCCATAAGCAAACGTCAAAAAATATTAAGATATAAACAAATTTAGTAGCGCTCTTAGAACTCCTTGTGCCTTAAATGATAATGAGATGAGCTAAAACACAATGTTAACATGTCTAATTCCCACATAGAACCTGAATGAATATAAACGAGTGGAACCACAATCAAACCATAAAACAGGATTTTCTTTATCAGGCCAGGTAAAGCCAGTCTTCTTCAAACCATCAATTCAAAAGTTAGCTCATTAGGTTGAGAAAGGCAGGTCAGCATGGAACTACTCCTGACAATTTGCACATTAAAAAAAAAAAAAAAGTAACAACTATAGGCAGTACACTCTGCAATGCCCATTTCTACTCTCTGATTAATCAATCCTATGCCAGGAAGCAGGGGAGAAATAAGGGTACCACTTCCTGCACAGTGCTCTCCACCCAATTCCAAGGTATTTGTCATGATCTGCATCATCACACACTTGCAATGTTATGAGCTCAGTGGCTCTTCTCTGAGGTTTGCAGGACACCAATTAGCTTAATATAAGACTATTCTATTCTAAAAGAAAGAAAAAAAGAAGAGAGAGAGAGGGACAGAGTTGGAGGGAGAGGGAGGGAGAGAGGGAGAGTGAGGGGAGAAGAAGAGAAAGAAAGAAAGAAAGAAAGAAAGAAGGAAGGAAAGAAGGAAGGAAGGAAGGAAGGAAGGAGGAAGAAAAGAAAAGAAAAAAAAGGAGGAGGAGGAAGGGAGTGATCTCATTTAAAAACAAATTTCTAAGCAGAAAAGTAACTACAATTTATATCAGATCTTAACAAAACATTTACAAGGAAGTACAGGAGCCATAGGTTAACATTGCTTTCCTCTGATGATTAACTTATACTTTAAAGCAGAAATCACAAATATGAGTCTCATACCCCAAAACATCCCAAAGATGTATCACGTTCTCCTTTTGTAGCAATAACAAATACAAGTATGTGGGGAGAAGGATAGCATATTGCTCAAAATGTGTCCACTTAATCATACTGAGGAATGTTCCCCCTACGCCAAGTGGAGAGAATTTCATGGTAAGATACATGAAAGTCAAATCATTTAAAAAGAAACAATAAATAAGATAGCAATTCATATTTGACACTGAGCAATAGAAAGCATTTTTCAATATTTTTCATGAATACTAATAACAGCAGTAATTAGCCCTTGAACATTTTCCAACCATAGAAACAGCTGTCACAGAATAGCCACAGACTTAACACTAGGAATGAAATTACAGTTATCATAAAGTATATTTTTAACTTTCAGTAGGTGTTACTTTGTACAGTGTTTAACATCAAAAGAGCCTGTGTGCACTGTACACATGGTACCACTACAGCTTATAATTTCCAGAAGAACATGAAATGAACATGAGAAATCTCTCAGAGGCATTATACGTCACCATTACATTTTAAAGTGAGTTTTAAATCGTAGTCAAACCAGAGTTTAATGCCAAGATGATATTATCAGATAATCATAAAAACTATACGCTAAAGCATAAAAATATATTTGGGGGAAAAAAAACAAAAATAAATTTCCAGCAACCACACAAATCACATTGCAATTCTTAGAACATAGGTAGATTACAAAACATGCCTTAAAAATATTCATGGGATAAATATGTCATTAAATGTGCACTTCCAAATTCTAAAGTAAGGGGCAAAATCACCCTCAAATGTAAAATTTTACGTGTTATTAAAATGTGATCACTATTTAAACAAACCCAAACACACAACATATAAGAAAGCAAGGACAGAAAAGACTCAGTAGTCATGCAGGCTATCTGATCCTTTGTCCCCATCCCAGGGACATCAAGGTATAGATCGAGAATCAATTAGTGCATTCTTTCTCCCTGAGCCCCCAAAACCTTCAGAATCATTTCAAAAAACAGCACTTCCGGCAGTCACTACGAAGAGACCACAGATCAAATATTAAATTAAACCTATGTTCCACCCCTAATCTAGCATTTCAGTGACCTGAAACATTTACACAGATTTTTAGGTAATTATTTTTAAATCAGAAACGGTTATATTTTCATATTATTTAAAATTCACTTACTCATGAAATGCATTCCAGTAAATTTTTCACTTCAAAAAGGCAGGCTGTCTTGTGGAAACACCACCACAAAACTAAGTGAGTCAATGGCAAACTGAAATCCATTAGTAAGAAATAATGGAAAACACTTACTTCTTTTCTCTTCAGAAGAGAAAACCTACTCTTTCTGTCGAGAGTATGCTTTGAGAGCTGACAATGAACACACTCGGTCCATTAATAAGAATACTGTTGTTGCAAATGGCAGTATTTCATCTTTTCTTATGGCTGAGTAAGACTGCCATTTGCGACAACATGGATGGATCTTGAGAATAACGTGCTAAGTGAAATAAGTCAGACGGAAAAAGTCGGGAGCCATATGATTTCGCCCATATATGGGATATAAAATTGAAAGTAACAAATGAACAGGGCAAACAAACAAAAACTCATAGACAGACAACAGTTACCAGAGAGATAGGAGTGAGGGGAAGGGGTTGAAAAGGGTAAAGGGGATCAAATATATGGTGATGGAAGGAGATTTGACTTTGGGTAGTGAACACATAATGCAATGCACAGAAGATATATTATAGAATTGTACACTTGAAAACTATATACAATTTTATTAACCAATGTCACCCCGATGAATACTGGTAAAACAGAAAAAGTAACGCCTTTTTCCATCTAAGCAATATATTCTCTCATTCTCATTAAGACAGAGGAATGATAAAAGACATGAAGCGTCCTAAATTTTCATGGATTGAAGACAAAATAAAGAGTAAAGGGCTGACTTATAGCATTAGCAAAAATACCACTTAACACTTACTTTTGCAAAGGCTTCAAAAATGTCAAAGGAAGGTGGCAGCTGAGAAGCATCCGGTATTTCTTCTCTCATGAAATGTTGAAATGTCATTGCCAGTTGCCTGAGGCCCTCTTTCTTATCTTCAGTCAGCTTGTTAATATCTTTTTTAAAGAGAAAATAAAGAGCACAATCACACAGTGAATTTTTAATGGATAATTTTCAGGTGTTCAATGGTAGCTGTTCAACTAGATGTGTTCCTTCCCTGGATTTCATTCTGACAGAGAGAAAATACATATCTTTGGAGGGCGGGGGGGGACAACTACAAAGCATACATACATTATCAACTAAATTCTGCAAGCGTCTATCTACAGCGTAAGATCAAACACCTGTCAACAAAATAAATACACATACACATGAAAAAAACATTAAAAATAAAATCAGTAAAGATGCGTGTTACTGGATTTTCTTCACCAACCTGTACACATGTTCAAACCATAACAAATGCTTATTAAATGAGTGAATTTCAGCACTTTTTCATGAAACAGTTTACAATCAGGTCATGACTAAGTGATATCATCTCAAAAGCAAAAAAAAAGTGGTAACTAAAAAGTTTAGCTAAAGTTCAAACTAGTGAAATTTGTCATTGAGAAAATACATCAAGAATAAAACATGGATCAACCAAAGAAATCTCAATGTCAAGTTATTTCCTGGTTGAATAAACAAGATATGGTGCTGCTTCAACCCAAACAAAAGGAGCAAGTTCCAAAGGTAATATTACCTTTTGAAAAAACTCAGTTTAAACTTTTACCATAAAAGGGTGTTCAAGTTAAGAGTACACGATTCAATTAATAACGTTTGAGAGCGCTTCACTTAAAGCAGCATGCATGACACCACGACTGAGCAAGGCTAACGTTAACAGTGACTCTCACTGCAAGAGATGTTAATTACTGAACAGGAATACAACAAGAAAAATTAATTAGTTCTCTATTAAAACTTGAAATAATACTTCAAGTTGAACTACAGCCTAACTCTGTTGCTCAGGTCATGTCTACATATTTTCCTTAAATTACTTGTTCAACAGAACAATTAACCCAGTGATTTCTTTCTCGTCTGTTTGTTTATTGTGGTAAAATACACGTAGCACAAAATTTACCATCTTAACGGTTTTTAATTGTACAGTTCAGTAGTATTAAATACACTCCCATTGCTGTGCAACCATCACCATCATCTGTCTCCTCAGCTCTTTTCATCTTGTAAAACTGAAACTGTACACCCACTAAATACTAGCTTCCCCTTCGTCCCTCACTCAACCACCATTTTACTTTCTGTCTTTAGATTTTGACCACTCTAAGTACCTCATATGAGTGGAATCATACAGTATTTGTCCTTCTGTGACTAGCTTATTTCACTTAGCATGTTCACTTACCATGTTGTAGCATGTGTCAGAATTTCCTTCCTTTTTAAAGCTGAGTAATGCTCCAGTGCGTATATACATAATATATACACACCACATTTTGCTTATCCATTCATCCATGGATGGACACTTAGGTTTTTTTCCATGCTTCAGCTATTGTGAATAATACTGTTATGAATATGGATGAATAAATATCTCTTTAAGACCCTGCTTTCAATTCTTTTCAGTATGTAACCAGAATCCTGGGTCATACAGTAATTCTATTTTTAATATTTTGAGGCACCTCCACACTATTTTTCACAGCAGCCGCACCATTTTACATTCCCACCAACACTGCACAAGGGTTCCAATTTCTCCACATTCTCGCCAACACTTGTTCTTGTTTTTGTTTTTGATAGTTGCCCTCCTAATGGGTGTGAGGCAGTATCTCACTCAACTGTGATTTGCATTTCTCTAATGACTGGTGACTCTTAAATAATTATTTATCAAGGGCAGTCAGGATCCCACAACCATAAATAAACCCTGCATTAGACCTTCGTTGTTGTCTCCATCCAGACATACTATACTGTGTAGCAAATTTACTCTACGAGCTCTGGCTACTTTGGGGCTGAAGTCACTCACAACCTCAGTGAAGAGGATCTGAGCCAACATGAAAGGAAAATAAACCCTTCATTGACCTGACACTCAGACTGGAAAGCCCTTCATTATTCCCAAGTAGCTTGGCCACTGACAGGATGGTTCAAAAGAACAACGTCACTGCTGTCCGAGAGCCTAAGTCATCGGTACCTTCCACTTTCCTGACCACCCTAAGGACCAGGGAACCTAAAGGTTCCCTGGAACACTCTCCCTATGCCCCTCACCACTCCTGTTCACATCAGTGTTTCCTGACATAAAAAAGAAGCCAAGAGTGGGAAGAAGAAAATGAGGGAGGGAGAAACAAAAGAAAAAATTATTTTGTCAACTGGACTAAGGGTTACGCCCCCTGGCTGCCTAACCTGGCACTTTACAAATTCCTACATGGCCAGAGCTATCCTGGAATACATCAAATAAGCTAATGTTAGATTTCCTCGCATAACAGAGAGACAAAAAAAAAAAAAAAAAAAGTTAAAAAATGAAGCCATTCACCAGCTCAGCATGTAAACAATAGGAATTCATTTTTTTCAATGCTGATAGGCAATCACTTACTTGACTCCAGATCATAGAATGAGTAAAGTTTCTCCGATTCAGAGGGGGTTTCTTCCATCTATGAAGGAAAGGGGGAAAAACACCAAAAACAAGTTCAAGTGCTCCAATATATAAATAAGTATGTTTGAGCGTCTTTAGGTTTTTAAATGAAAGTCTTTATTACAAAGGCAATTTTCCATACAGTATACTACTTCTTCTCATCACTTTCTTAGAGTTGAATTATTTAATCAATAACAATTTTAAAATAAAAGTTGTGACTTAACCACCCATTTAATTTCCAAATGCAAATCTTTTACAAGCTTTTATACGTTTATTTGTTTCCCCAGCTCTAACCATAGACTTGTAATACTGTAAGGATTTTATTACTAATTATCATTTAAAAAGCAAAGATGGATGAATAAAAATAATGATTTATTATAAACTGTACAGTTTTGGGTACGTTACTTGACAGTGAGCCAAGAGGAGTCAATTTCCTTATCTGAAACAGGAGTAATATTAGCACCTGGTTCACTGGGTTGTTGCAGGGATTAAATTAGGTATATCATGCAAAGCAATTACCACAGGGCCTGGAAATAGAAGTGCTCAATGTAAGGTAACTATTGCTATAATTGCTTTCAATTAGACTTTGAGTCAGTAGCTCAGGGGTGAAGACAGAGAACTGGTGACTTGGGTGACTCTGAAACAACCCTCTTCTGCTCTAACCGTGGTTCTCCATCTTTCCAATGTTAATAAAGTAGAAAAAAGTCCAGACTCACGTATAATAGTGATTATACTTTTAATATCCACTGATTACAGACATGCATAATGACCAAGTTGTTCTGAATTTATTAACGCTTTGAAATAAATTTGTATTTTAGTTCAACACAATGTACACATTTGAAAATAATGTACATTGTTGCATATTCAGTACAAAGACCATATTCATGTGGTTTTCCAAATCCATTTTTTAAAATTGAGATGTAATTAAAATATAACAATGTATTAGTTTTAGATGTACAATAATACTTTTACATTCTTAAATGTAAAAGTATGGATAGAATTTTATAGCCAAAAAAAGCCAATAAACAACAGGACAGAGCAGAGCTGGAGCCTGCAATAATTTGAGAAAGAGATATGCAGGCGAAAGCCTGACACAAAAACTCTGGAAGATGTCACGGGAGGGGGGCGGGATGAGGGGGGTAAAGGGGGGTGAGGGGAGTGGATGGGGGGTGTCACAGAATCTACTAGCCATTTTGGCAGGGTAAGAAAAAGAACTAAAGAAACAATTTCACCGAACCATGGCTATTAAAAAAAAGAAAAAGAAAAGGAAGATAAGCACTCTTCAATGAAGGATTAATTATCATATAAAATTTCACTTGGAGAAGCAACCAAAAAAAAAGTATATGCTTGTCTTGTGCATTAGTTCATTGAAAAGTAATAAAGGTAAGGTAACAGACATTACTAACATCTCATGGTCCAAATACAGAACCTTATTTATGTCTCTGTTCCCAGGAGGTCACACACAGGGCCTTCAAAAAGGCTTCATCACTGCCTCTGATGCTGTGATTAGTAGGAAAATGGCAAGCTTTTGTCTTAAGATAATCCCTGGAACAGTCCACCTTCTACCTTAACATGGTTAAATTCAGCCTTAAAGAAGAATACTACATGCAACTGCAAGTGCTTTTGTTAAATTAAAACCCAAGCATATGTCACGAGTTGTATACTCACAAGTTTGACAACAGCTCTGCCAAGAAGTCGGACAGAGTCCGGAGGATATCTGGGTTTGCAGCTTTTAAGGCATTTGCATTCCCGCTTGTGATCCGGCCAACCTTTTTTCTGTTAAGACAAGAGTGGGGAGAGCATTCAAGACAAAAAAACTTTAACTTTCATTTACAGAGGTTGTGAATGTTGAGAGCTATCAACACTAATTTAATTCAACAGCCCAAATATAACTGAAAAATAGAAAATGAGAGCAATATTCTAATACCATTAAAGATCCGGAGTTCAGTCTTTGCCAGGAATGCAATTACCAGGTATGGACATTAAGAGCTTCTGCTTCACCTCTGCCCTTTAATTTGCTCCCCTGTTATTACCTGGCTGGTGGATTCCATAGGAAGAATCATTATGCTTCTTTAATAATTTATAAGATAGTCTTTTAGCTGATTAAATAGAATTCAATAACAGACAATGATTTTGAATATCAAAAAGAAAATACGCTCCAAATTAGAAAATAAAACATGTGGTTCGGGAAAATCAAAACAAGGCAGGTCTACTTCTGAATTGCTCTGCTGCTGTAGTGAGTACAGAATATAGAAACATCAGGAGAGCTAGCATAACAAAAAATACAATTTTGAAGATATGAAGATAACACAGAAAGGGGAGATGAGCTAAAATGACCAAATGTCCAGGTTGCCAGGGACTGTCTTATTATTTATGTTGTCCTGGCCTAATTATTAAAAGTGTCCCTTTCCATTCGGAAAGGGTAGTTTGGGTGATAAAATATATGGTCACTTAACCCACGATCCCAGCCACGTGCTGGTGTGGCTGAAGAGACCAGTGAGCCAGTCACCAATCTTGCAACACTAGGGATAAGAGGATTCAAGGGAAGGACATTCTCTCCCTGGGTCTTGGGTCAGAAATGCTATGGCTCCCTTCCTATGGGATTACTTCTATATAAAGATAAAACCCAGAGTAGCTAATATTCAGCCCTGGTGATTGGGAGACCACTATGGCAAATGTCTAACATGTCCTAGTTCAACTGAGAGTTGGAAGTTTCACCACTTATTTCAGAAATTGTAAATCTGCTTCCCAACTTCTGGGTCTATAAAACTCCCCTAGGAAGAACTCTCTCTTGGAAAATCACAAACATACAGCACAAGCAAAAATTCAAAAGAGCTGCAGCTACTTTGAAACCATGACTCAGATTCAAGTTCAAGCCAGCATTTTGTTCCAAAAGGCTTGCCTGTATGGAGCTGTTGGGTGAAGGTGTGGTTCATCTGCTGATACTTCCGAATACCCCAAATCCTGGAGACATTGTTTACAAGAGGTAACAACATCACTTCTTTTAATAACTTACTCCCGGTTACCTCATTTCACTCCTTCCTATCCATTATGGCAATGTTAATATGATGTTTGTAATCTTTTTTAATTTTTATTATATATACTTCACTCACTTCTAAACAAGCCTGAGCTGCTTCAAAGTAAAAATGTGTATGAAATCAGGTTGCAAAATTAGAAACATGAGAAAATGTTAAAATTATGAAACACAAAGTCCTCTAGCATTTACTTACCATTCTACAGTGTGTCAGATAGGCTGAGCAATTTAAAAAAGATATTTCACTTGATTTTCACAATAATCCAAAAGGTAGACCTCATCCTTATATTAAAGATGAAGAAAGTAAGGTTCAAGAGCTGGGATCTAACTACTAAGCTCCATAAATGTAAACGGGGAGATTGAAAATTCTTAGTATGCTAAATATGAGAGCTAAATAATTACTGTGTTCTGTGCAACATCTATTTGAGTTGCCTTACAGGCAACGCAAAAAAAAAAAAAAACATAATGGCTTATATAATTCTCATCTGACAGAAAAGAAAAACACATAGCTTTACCAAGTATTAAATCACAGGTGGAAATTATTCTGAGAATGCTAATCAGCATGCTGGACAATGTCTTCAACAATAGTTGACAACTATGAGTGCCTTTCATACGGCCGCTTCTAAGGTGAGTACTCACTAAAAGGCATAATATTAAAAATAACTCAGTGGGAAAAAATGTTTCTATTGTTCAGGGGGCTAGTCTTGACATCACAATTAGAAATTAACAACATGTGTAAGATCCCTAAAAAAAATTTGGTTCCATTGTCAAATCAGTTTGAAAAACACTACATAATAAAGACCCTGCTTAGCGATTTGAAATATATTTAGCTTAACTGGAAGTTCTAAAAAAGTCTGCATTAAAGAAACTTGTATAGATTAGTTAACACAGAGTTTCCCATGATGATAATTGCCATCCTTTGAGAAATTAGGTTGATATATACTGACTCGGATATACCTATACACTCTCTTTCCTTCCTTTGGTCTTTGAATGCCAATAGGTTAAGCAGACAAATTCATAGTCACTCACACTGACAGGAAACTTGAGTGTTGATATTTTTGATTACTGATTGAAGGGAGAACCCCCTAACTGTAACAGAAGAGTGTTCATTGGACATTAGAAGTTGAGAAGCCCCATAGGTGTCCTCAAAGGACTGGCTGTGTAAGCAAGAATGAAACTCACAGTGCCAGTGGGTCTCTGAGAAAGCTCCTGAGGCTCTTTTCAAAGCCTGAGTAAGTGTCCAGCAGAAAAAGGATTGCACCTAAAATAAGGCTGAGATCATTTGGACCAAAAGGTATCTAGAGCAGATTTTAATCAATACTTATCTCTACTACAAAAGACCTTCTATTATTATTCCTTTGTTCAAACCTCCAGTATTGAGCAGCTCAGCCTCCTGGTAGCTTACCAGGGTGAAGTAACCATCAAATGTACCCCTAGGCAATAAACCAATTGATCTGTTAGATGACATTACTTAAACAATTGAATTTTAGAGAATTCATGTCAAAAACTATTTTAGGACTTGAACATAATTAATAGTGAGCTCTCATTTCTCAACAGTAATTAGAAACTAGACAATATGTTTCTTAAGGCTATTCCTAGATCACTGCATGAAAACATCAGGCAACATACTTATCATTTGCTTCAGCAAAAAAGATGTTCATTCTTATCATCTAAGAGCTAAATCAGATCTATATAAATATAGAAAGCAATCGAACCACTTGAAACTGTCTGTAACAGAGTCAACTTTACATACAGCCTACTCCATTTCTTACAATGATTTTAAAATTTATATTTTTCAAACATTAATTGTTAGGATTTATTGTTCGGCTTCACCCATCACATCTTATAAGGCTTACTAATATATACATATCAAAAAAAAGCTTACAACAAAATCTTTTAAGTAACTGCGTTAGACTTTGAAGCAAAACCCCACAATCATACAAAAACATTACCTTTACTCTACAAACTTTAACCTTGGTCTAGACTCAACAGCACATTATACCGGGGGTGCTAAAAATATATATACACATTTTAAGAGATGATATCTATGCTCAAGCAGTAGTTTGCCCTAACCAGAAGTGTCTGGACGCTGATGGGAACCACTTTGAGCACCTCTTGTAATTGCAGAGGTCAAACGTGACTTGTATTCATCTTTTGTTATTGATATATATTATAATTAATACAGTTTTTTCCTTTCTTAAAATGTGTATACATTTTTTTGACACCCTCTGTATATCAGCCAATTTCTCAAACATAACCTTCTTGATTTACTTTTTCCTGTCGTCTTCCATTACTGCAAATACAGGATGTAATTAAGATTTGCTTCACAATACTGGCTGTAACGTTTTCTGTTCTCATAGCTGAAAATTAACAATGATGTACAACAAGTACAAATTAGTAAGAAAGACAAAGGAAATTAAAATATTGTGTTAAGAAACAAAGACAATGGGAAACAAGAGTTTAGATGGAAAAAAATAAAATGAAGATGTCTATGACTCAATTCTATTTTCAGTACATACAAGACTCAAAAACAACTTCAGAATCTATGTTTTCATATGTTTTGCAGTATTAATATTGATTCAGAGCATAAACTAATTAACTAAAGCAATGGTTTCCAGTGGAAATAATACTAATCTGGAGGGTTTTTTAGGAAATTTAGGATGGTATTTTTGCTTGTCACAATACTTGGAGAGCACCAGGGCACTCAGTGACCAAGAACCATAGATACCAGACATCTTGCATAGGACAGTTCCATCCAAGAAAGAATTATTCTAAATCCAACACGGCTTTTAAATATCCAATCAGACATTCTATAAAGGTGACCTGAGCTCAGAAGACATTTATTTAGAAAGAGAAGTGGATTCAATGATCTCTAAGGCAGCCTCTCAATGACAATATCTATGATTTTGTAATATCCATTCCTAACAAACATCTGAATTATGTCAAAATAGGTTTGAAACCTGCCCTCGTTACGCTTTCATGAAACTGAAAATTTGGAACAGTATTTTCCTCAGATTTGGGGTCACTAAGGATGAAGAAATTGGCTTGAAATGTTTAAAAAAAAAGGAATTCTGTTAAGCAAGCTTATTCAACAATTGCATTTGTGATTAATAATTACCATTAATTGAACATCTTCTATGTGAAATACTGTCATGATTTTTTTTTTTTTTACCACATAAGCATGACTCACAATCAGTCATCTACAGAGGTTTCCTATGGGCAAAACTTAGGAGAGCTGAGTTGTGGTGCAACCTACAGGAAAGAAAAGAGATCCCACAGTTTTCCATTCATGTACAGACTACTGAATAGCAAATAAATATCTCCTTCTTTATGTCTCAAATGTAATCCAATATTGAATCACAGGTTGACAGATGAAGATCTGAAAATCTGGAATCTGAGAAAAAAAAACTGGAAAACTAAGCAGGTTGTCTAACGAGCTGCAGTTGACTGACAGGTATTGATGAAAATCTTGCATAAAATCTCCTTCGAGCACACTGGAGACCTAGTGATACACATTCGACTTATTAGGTTAAAAGCTTCCGGAATGCTGTGTCACAAGGAGAACAAGAGCGCCTTCCCACTCGCCTAATCAAATTAGACAGACAGGGCCAAATATAAAGACGGAGCGGGGCAGGAGGATGATCACAGAAATGAAGTTGACAGAAGAAACAAGAATAAAGGACGACTTCTTAGGAAAATGGGAATTAGAGTCTCCTGTTAATTGAGGAGCCATATAGGAAAT